CGAAATATATACAAGGATCTATTTAAATCCAGCATCCAACATGACTAAGGCGTCTTGGAGATTTTTTCCCCTGCGCGTCGTCAGGTAGTAAACCATCAGTGGGTCGATCTATTGACAGCGACAGCGCAATAACTCGAAACGTAAGAAGATAAAGAACCACAGTGTCTCTGCATTTATTGCTTAGGGATTTTCCCTGGCGGAAAATAGTCTCCTCATAATTTCACGAAGTGCACGGACATAGTTTATCTAAAAAGAAAAATTAATCGGATAGTCTAAAAAGAAAAATAAGTAAAACGTGCAATTTATAAAATCTCACTGTGTCTTATTTTGTTCATTGCTTCTATTTACACCAGTGTCGGGGCGGTTGTTTTTAATTCAGTTTACCCGAGTAACCTAGGTTAAAAACTAGATGCTGGCACACAATTTGTTTATATGAAAGATTATTATTAGTGAGATAGATTGAAATGAGATTAGGTAAAAACATTTCGACAGTTTGACTAAACTCCAATTCTCTACAATTAAGATGAAATTTAAAAATTTGTAGACAAGTTTTTAATAAATTAATGTGTAATTTATTTGATAGGTACTCCAAAAATGTAATCTTTTTTATTTGTTTTTTATGCAACCTTTAAAAATGCAAATTTCTACTGCATTATATAGACAACTAGATAAAAATCAAGGCGAAAGCAATGTAATTACAATTACTAATACCAGCTCGAAGATAATAAGCTTTTTATTGCGTATTTATAACTGTATTTGTCCGAGTAATTCGTTGCGATTATATAAACATATAATACAACTTGTATAGTGTCCAAGTTAGAATTATAGTTAAGACTAGCTGTGCCTGCGACTTCATCCACGTGGAATTTAAAATAAAAAAAAATTGTAAAAAATGATATTTTGGTATATGTACTGTGTATACATCCATATCCATTTAGTGAAAAGCGGTTATTTTAATATTACAAACAGACACTCCAATTTTATTTATCTGTATAAATGTATAGATTAAGGTAATAAAAAAAATATAATATCAAATAAAGAACTTCAACCATATTTGAATGAACGCAACACAGGCGATTGAAAAATATAAAAAAATGTAAATTATTGCAAATCGATAAAATGGGTGGAAAAAAGAGGCCGAAGAATATTTTAAAAAAGACAATAGATTTTTAATTATTCGGAACACATGTGTTCCGCTGTGATCATGTCAAAAATGATGTTAACTATTTAAGTATTTAGTGATCTCTTTATGTATATTTTTATGATGAAATTCTGATTTTTCAATGTCGTTGTTTCATTATATTTCTTAAAATAGTGGTGTTTTATATATTTCTCGCCCCCTCTCCTCTGAGTTTGTGAAGCAGCAACTTTTACGTTCAGAAGCACTTCACAAAATGCTTAAATTTATTAAATAAGTGTTGACTCATCAATCATAACATGAGCCTGTTTCAAATGTTAAAATTGAGATTTTTCTACAAAAACTACTACAACACTCAATGGGACACATCATTTAAACTCGACTCGCTCATATTCCTGCAGCTATTGTAATAAGTACTCAAAAAATACGAAACCTAATTTCATATTCCTGTCAAGATTTACTTCATTACACAAAACCGCCTTTCTGACGGCAGCTGTGACTAGTTGCAATAGATTGGATGTAACATCTTCATTCTGCCTCCCTTTTTTTTGCACTACGGAACCACGTGCTAGACGCTACGCGTGACCGGAAAGAACAGAGCTTTTATGCTGTCGGAGACTTCCTAGCGACCAGTTCAATTTGAGATATTTTTTTTATTTTATTAATAAACGAGTTTTCGTTTTATTTTCACAGATTTAAAGTATTATACGATACTGAAAAACGCCGTAACGTGGTCAATTTAAACATTTATTTTAAGTAGTTTTTCTACAAATTATAATAATTTAATATGGTGGATGGCGACTGAAATGATATGTGTAATTTGCGATGGAAACACGTTTATTATTATCGTCAATATCATAGATCAGAATGTTTTAGTCCATTGCCGAACATAGGAGTCCCCACAAGTTACTTCCATAAAAATAAATGAACTTATACACGTTTCGTTTCATGTACAAGACGCGGCTACAAAAAAATTTAATTAATATTCAACATTTGAATGAATATTTTTGCTTTGTACAAAAGAAAAGTATGTGAAGTTTAAACATACATTTGTTTCGTAAAAATAATTTTGTAATTTTGTAGATGTGTTTTTATTATTTACTGTAATAGATATTTATTGTGATTATTACTTGACCGTTTTAACATTTTTACATTAACTCAACATACAAAAAGTATCTTAACGAATATGAACGGGTACCACTGACGGACAAAGACCTTTTATGTGCATGGAGCATTCGTTGTTTCTTCCAAAGCGACACATGGAACACATTAGAAACAACAAAAAAGGCCTCTTCACGGATTTCATTGTGCCGACACCAACAAAAACACATTGTTCGCCACGTGTTGCGCGTTAGGACGTTGGGTGAATGTTAAAAGGGATCCAGGTTCAGTTCCCTGCCGGGCCCCGCGGCTCCGTTTCGCTATACTGGCTTGCTAATCGTTCAAATATGTTCTGAATCATCGAGATATGGAGACATTTCATCGCCTCCCAATGAATCACTATATGCACACACGTGAATTACTCGCACGGACGTTAAAAATGAAATAATAATTATAGTAAAGTAACGGCTTACGAATGCCCCGCTGCTGGGCAATACTCCAATGCAGATTCCTCTTTTTTTTTTTTTTTTTTTTTTTTATGCGAAAAGTTGTCAAACGAGCAGACGGTTCACCTGATGTTAAGTGAATACCGCCGCCCATGGACATCTGCTACACTCGAGGGTTACAGATGCGTTGACAACCTTTTGAAAATTGGGCTCCGGCTACCTCACTCACCAGACGAAACGCGAAAGTATTTGTCATACTTCCACTTTACGCCGGTCTTCTGTGAGGTCGTGGTACTTACCCGGACGGGCCTGCCCATTCGTGCAACAGCCGAGGCTGCTGCGTGGCCCTACCACCGTAGAGTTCCAATGTTTTCCTTCACCTCACAATGTTTTCCTTCACCTCACAATGTTTTCCTTCACCGCACGTGAGTACACGATGTCCAGCGTTCCACAACAGCGCGATTTTCAAGGAATATCCCGCCGCGCACAACCACTCAGTAGAACCAACTGCCGCCGACGGTCTTTCCGAACCGTTACGACCTGGGAACCTTCAAGAACAGAGCATACTCTTTCCTAAAGGCCGGCAACGCATTTGTAAGTCTTCCTGTGTTGCAGGTGTCCATGGGCGGCGGTCACTTACCAACAGATGAGCCTCCTGCTCGTTTGCCGCTTTTTTCCCGTAAAAAAAAGAGCACGTGATAAATCCCCACATAAAATCTACAATTTCATTGATGCCGGCACCGGGGATTAAACTCAGGTTGCTTCAGTGCATTGAATTGAAAGCGAGCGCCCGTGCAATGAGATTTCACGGCGACTGTATGATACGTGCGAAATTCTAGCTAATAAGCAGGGTACTTTTTATATCGGAACAATGATCTTCGCCATATAGGATCAAGAGGACGAAGCGCGGATAAAGAAGAAGTTCGGCTACTGAACTCGATAAATGCGACCTTTTATAACTTTCGTTGCATCTGAACGAATCTTTGGCTTGCATTACTTTTTATAAAGATAACTAAGGAAACAAGATCACAACCGGCTAGCGGTATTTGATAGCTTTAATGGAAATTGAAGCTATCCCCATTATGATAGAAGAATGGATTGCTTATTTTTTGTAATATAATAATTTCAACAAAACGTTAAACTTACTTAATTCTATGATGTAGGAGCGTTTTACCGAACTGAACTAGGAGGGACAACTTTTCTCTTTTGGCAGTTGATCTCACGACACGCGGTTTCCAGTGTCGCTTAGAATCTGCGCCAACCGAGTTACATGGCCGGGTTAATGTAGATTCACGAGCTTCTTGAAGTCGCTACTCTTTTATGACGTATTTTTTATAGCTTACCTAAAACTATATGAGTTCTTCTTCTTATATTTGAACCGTGGAAGTCACGCAGCAGCTTCTGCTGATGGACGATCAGGTTGGCTCATCCAGGGGAGTACGACGAGTTCAAAAGACGGGCGCGAAGTGGAAGTAGTATACTTTAGCGTTTCTTCTGGCGGGGGAGGTAAGGGTCCACCGCTTTAAAGGTTGGCGACGCATTCGCAGCCCCTCAGATGTTGCAGATGTCCGTGAACCGCGGTAATCACTTAACGTCGGAACCACCTTCACACTTGCCGACTGATCTCACAAAAAGTATGGTAGCGATATTATAACATAGTAAACAAAGCGGCGCATGAATATTTATGGCAACATAAAAGTAATTTTCTTTAAAAAATAACAATCATTGCAACTTAGCCTCTTCACCTGGTGGCAAGTAAGCATTGCCTGCAGCAAATATCCACACCACCAGAAATGTAGCAGGCGCGTTGCCAACTGCGTCGGACCTCTGGGTTATCTCACAAGCGAAGGTTTAACATACCAAATATCGTTATCGGAAAACTTGTTATAACGCAAAAGCTACTAAAAGAAGTAAAAATAACGCAAGCCACACATTAAGTAACGTGTTATTATAACGTAAACAGATGACTATTGTCACGTAAAAAGATGTCAAGACCACATGCAACTCTAACTTTGTTAAACTAGTCTACGTGAGAAATTCGTACAAATTTGCTACAGCTAACCCAAACTCGTAAGGTTTTTTTGTGCGTTATAATTTTTTTTTTTTTTAATGTGAAAAGTTGCCAAACGAGCAGACGGTTCACCTGATGGTAAGTGAATACCGCCGCCCATGGACATCTGCTACACCCGAGGGTTACAGATGTGTTGACAACCTTTTGAAAATTGGGCTCCGGCCACCTCACTCACCAGACGAAACGCGAAAGTATTTGTCATACTTCCACTTTACGCTGGTCTTCTGTGAGGTCGTGGTACTTACCCGGACGGGCCTGCCCATTCATGCAACAGCCGAGGCTGCTGCGTGGCCCTACCACCGTAAAATATAGATTATAATTTAGATTAATGAATAAATAAATAGGTACTTAGATGTAGACTGGAGACAGAGTGAGCAAATAGTATGTATGTAAAGAGTATTAGTGTGCATAAAATGGTCCTAAGCACCGTAATAATTTAAATAGATACAGACGGTACTCTTCGAAGAAACGTATATAACAATTTTATAAGCTGGAGATAAAGCCATATATTAATAGGGCATTAAATACGCTCGCTAAAATGTGTTATAACGTGATAAATTAAACAGCAACCGAAAGTTAAATATTATGTTCGCATATTTTCGAAATGAAACATGTAATTATTAATTTAGAATACGTAATACTAATCCTCATTATTACGTATTCTGAATCCATACATATTGTAATGTTTATTTTTAACACAAAAATTATCCTTTTTACATTTTATTTTATTTTATTATAATTAATAAAATAAAATAAAAAACTAATTAATTACTAAATCATGCTGGACTCATTCGTATCGAAACTTCAGCTCTTAACCGCCAATTGTTTCAGCGGTCGCGTTTCAGGCCAAAAGTGAATCACATCAGATATATAACTAATTACAATATCACGCGCCGAGGTTCTAAATTTAATTATATCTCAAAATAAAACGCAAATCCGCTTACCAGTTTCCCGGAATGAAGAGCAGAACGATGGGACCGTCGGGCATCCGCGAAAAACTCACTTCGTAACAGTCCGTCCGATAGACGTATGCCACATACATGCAAATCAATACACAACACCACGGCACAGTCACACTGTTGTAGCAGTTCGACAATTCGTGGAGGACCTCACGCGGCACGTGCCTGCCCGCGCGTGTTGACACAGCGAGCTTTGAGCGAGGACTGAAGCTAAACGAAGCTTTCAGCGACGCTGCGCCCGCGCCGGCTTCTATACCGCACCGCGGCAGCACACCCGTCTCTTTCTAACGTACGCGGTAACGTCACACAAATCACCCGTCCTTGTCGCACTTCGTGCCGCCTTGTGAAAATGGGGAAAACGCGCACTATCGTCGGCGTTACGTAATTTTCTTGATTTATTTCGTCTCTTGATTAATGGCGGTCGTGTTTTCGTTTTGTCCTATTAATGTTGGCGAAAATTTAATCGTACAATAACAAATTGTCGCTATGGTTGATCACTTTACCCAATTTCGTACAGTGATATTTATTCGGGGAATCGAAATGGGAATAGAAATATTCTCCATTTTAGATATCTATTTAAATTATTTAAGACTTGTTTTTGTAAAAGAAGTTTATCTGACTAAAGGTTTTGAAGAAGAGTAACAAAATTGTTCGCTGTCTGTCTTGAATTATTGCTTTAATTTGCTTTTATATTTTAATGTACATTTTGTCATTATATCTTTCTATATATATGTACAATTGTACAGTTATGTATGAATTTTCCTCATAATGTGATTTACTTTGGCGCTCACTCGTCGAAAATCTCCCAATGATTCGAATAATTTTCGAGATTGGTCGAAACATAAAAAAGTGGGCGCTGGCTACCTCACTTACGCTACCTCACTTACTAGTCGAAAAGAGAAAATATAATACATAATTCCACTTCACGCTCTTAGCTGGTGCGTGCCCCTACGACGGTGATATTATCAATGTATCACCTTCTATTCTTTATGTATTTCCCCATCAGTACGATATGATTTCAAACCGCATACATTCCTGTTTTATATATTTTTAGGGTTCCGAACCCAAAGGGTAAAACGGGACCCTATTACTAAGTCTCCGCTGTCTGTCTGTCCGTTCATGTTACGGAGTTGAAATTTTCACAGGGTAGAATAAGACTAGATTATACCGGTATTTTATATTGTAAACTGATATTTTTGAAAAAGAGCAACTGTTGAGTTTCTTGCCGGTCTCTTCTCAACAGAAACCGCTTTCCGAACCGGTGGTACCTTACGAACCTATATGTATAATCTTTATGTAAAATTTGACGATTCATATGAACGTGCAAGCGTCTATTTTAATAAAGATTTTTGATTGATTGATTGACTGATAACAATTGTGATACCGAGTCATCCGCTTGCTCGCTTACCATTACTTTGAAATGAAATTTTTTCCTCCAATCTAATAACCGGAGCACGGATACCACGTGTTACTAAACACGTCAACGATTCACGAAAACCGATTCAATTCGAAATTCAAACGAATAACAGAAGAGGCAGAAAATACTCCGTATCGGTTATAACGAGTACCTAATAATTCGGCACCGCGCGCGATATTAATCCTTCGCTCGCGAATGTTTTACGACTGATTTTCACGAACACAGCGAACCGGTCGTAATATAAGAATTATGGATTTGAAGAAACCCGCCATTACATCGCTTAGGAAACGTATTTCCTCCGCGCGGTTCGCGGAAGGCGACTCGAGCCGGGCCAACGTTCCGGCTTCCGGGTGATGCTTCGAAAGAAAGAAGAAAGAAAGAAAGAAAGAAATAAATTTATTTACCTAAAAAAGGACGCACACCATAAAAGAGAAAAAAAAACTAAAGTTAACAAAAAATAAAAATAAAATATTTTTTTTTATATACAGACACACTGACAGTAAAATTAATAGTAATTAAAAAAGAAAATACCAAATAAAGTATATGGAGATAAGACAACCAATCGATTACTTACTAAAGAAATGACTTAGTCGCTGTGGCGATCTAAAATCCCACAGACCACAAACACGATCTTGAGCCACCAGAATCCATCGACTTCGCTTTGTCCTTACTAATGTTACAAACGAAAGTTTATATGTATTGATGGATGTTTGATGTTTCACGTAAATACTACTGAATTGATGTTAATGAAACTACGATAGTATAGCTTATACATCAGAATAAGGCATAGGCTATAATTTATATACAAATTTTAGGTATATCTGTCTTTCCGTCTGAATGTTACGCCTTCAGCCTATTCTACGCAGACGTAGTTGCGGGCAGCAGCTAGTCTTTAGAATATAATAGAAATGATAGAATATACTTTATTGCACACAAGGAAATACAAAGAAAGAAAATACAGGACACAAATTGTACATATAAACCTCCTTAGCTAAGGTAGCAATTTCTTCCAGGCAACATTTCACAGGCGCACTTAAAATCCAACCCCAGCAAGGTTATATGTACTAACCTTATGTAGTCATTAGGCACTTTTTAAACCAGACATTATAACTATAACATTCTTTCCACCACACCGCGAAACGTCTTCGCCGTCATCATCCGGAAACCCCCGAAATTCTATTCACCGTCGACCGTCCATTAAAAATAGTGCGCACATTAAAATAGTCACTCGCGCCGTCACTTCCGATGGGGGTGTTTTAAGTTGGAGCGATATCGGCGCAGGAAATGGATACTTGCGGTGCGGAGATATCCGAACGGATTTGTGGCACGCGAGACTAACTAACGATTTGGTGCATCGATTGATTGATGAATTGGCCGGCGCGCTCAGTGACGGGCGGTAGCGGAAGCGATTTTTTTTTGGAACGAAATTCCTTGTCTTGTATTATTATTAGCTAATGTTTTTGCTCTCAGTCCGGAGACTATTAAAGCTTCATCTGACGCAGAACCGGTGGGCTAGCCAGGACCCACAGGTTTGGGCCCTCCGCTGTGGGCAGGGCCGCGCGAAAAAAAGGGTAAGAATTTTTCGTCACAAACGAAACATCACGAAAATATAATACGCTTATTAATAAAATTCACCCGTCGCAAGAATAAAATGAGGATATAGTTATTATAAATTAACCATAAACTTTTATGTAAACAAAACGATATGACTTAATTGATGCCTTGGTCATTCTGTCAAAGCTCATATAAAAATACATTCTCTTTGGTTAGGATTATCATCTATACAGCGTGTCTTTACAATCGCGACAATAAATGAACACACATATAGAGGAGAGCTTTTTAAAATTGTATTAAACTTTTACATTCTTTAAACATCAATATTTACCGAATTATTAAATTTTATAAAACAAAGAATTTTAGAACATTTTTTTACGTATAAAACTATAGCGTAAAGTTCATTTGCAAAGGTCACAAAGCATATGAATGGGTTGAATGAATTTAAATGAGACAAAACATACTGTTAGAAGGAGAGACTTGTAATGCGACGCTGTGGCATCGAATGAAAAATTCTCTGAATGTATGAATCAGTCAGTTATAGTTCTATATGTAACAAATTAATAAATTAATAAACAATATTATGTAACAAATTTTGTTTCTTTTTTACTTAATTAGTTTTTTTGAAAAAAAAAATTAAAACAAACTAATTAAGTTTTTTATATTTTAACGTTAAAATTTTAACGTAAATATTTTTTTATGATTATTGGCAAGTAGCGTTATGTTCATTTATTGTCGCGGTGGTAACGACACGCTGTATATTTGAACTCTTTTGAGTTCCTAACTAATGTTTTTAGATTTAAGTCGCTAAGTATGCTCACTGTAACCGTCTTTGCCTTGGCCCTTCCAAAATCACTCCTATGCCTACTTTATTTTGTAACACTATATAATACACAGGTCGTAAAATATAATCGAGTGTCTCAAATTCTTAAACTTATATTTCAGGGTGTAAAATAAAGTAAATACAATGCATAATTAAAAATGTATGAAGGAAAGCTATGTCTTTTTAAGTGCACAATGAATTTCAACAGTCCATTTTGGAGTATAACTAATGACAAACAATATGTTTTGGCGCGTTTGGAAAAACTATGATGGTAAAATTTTTACGACGCGCGCGCACACCGACCCTCAAACGCTTGGTAAACAATTTAATAGATAATATGTAATTTTAGATGGATTCAATCTTGTAAATATTAGACCAATAAAGATTGTAAATCATTTAATATTGGCAACCAATAACTACTTCTTGACATTTACAAATAATTCCAAGTTACGCCGAAGCTTCAATTCTTTACGCTAAATAAGTATAACTTTTACGTGCGTACATACTTACTTTTTTAAATACAAATTTAAAGGCGAGTTATCTTTGCCAGAAAAATAATGAAAATACTGAATTAACTTTAATATAGTGATTTGATTCCATGGGATCCCTCGGGATAAACACTATTAACTCAAGAGATATGTTTTGCATTAATATTTCAAATTAATGCGCTCTATGAAATAAATAAACTTATTACAGTCGAATAATACTTCGACTTTTAAATAATATTATTAATTAAGGTTTACTTAGTAATAGTTTATTATTAATTTTATTTACATTACAATCGGTATTATTCTTGATTTAAGTAAAAAATGTCCAGGCAACTGAATTTAAGCGTTTGTTCTTTATATGATATACCAATGTGATAAATTGTATGAGATTTAGTTTGTTGGTTACCTAAGCATTAATATCACTTATTTTTGAATGTTAACTAGGGATCCAGTAGTCATCGATACTTGGATTATGAGAAGGAGTGGAAATGAATACTGATGGAAATCAAATTTAAAGATATATTGTGTCTCTTGAGCACATTTTTACTAAAAAATAATATATTAAAGTGATTGTTCGGCGGAAAATAAAAATGGTGTGTCGATACTATGTGTAAATGAATACATATTACAGACATATATACCCAAACAGTACAAAAAACGTTGTGTTCATCAATTTTTTTCCTGCAGTGGGGACCGAACCCACACCCCCTAGCACAGTAGATCGCTTCTATATCCACGACACCAATCGCGTCAATCGTTATTTCACGCCTTGCTGCTTTGCCGGGCTCCGCTTTGAGACGAATCCATCGCGTGATTACCACAGTAAATAAGTATAGGCAACAATCAAAACAAGGAAGCGATAAATCCCACACGAAATATGCTATAATATCGATATCTTCGGCCGACATCTCAATGCGAATCGATTATGGCCCGTAGTAGCGATGCCTATCATGAATGAAGTCGGGCGCTGGGTCCTATTTTTAGCGTCGTGCCACACCAGCGGTTGACGCGCGACCTTTGGAGCGGAATCCGGGAAGCGACAGGTGATGAGACGTGTGAAGATTGACACGGTTTTCCTTTAAGGCCATTGGACTTTTCCGTTTGAAGCAATAAATAACTATAAAAATAAATAGTGATGAATGAATACACAGTTTTAATCACACGCAGTATATGCACTATAAGGAATAAAAATATTTTTCAAAAGTTATCCCGTCTTCGGGAGGTAGACTCCGTGGCACAGTTGCCAAGATGCTGGTATTCTATTACATTTGATAATTATTTCGGATCTGGGTGTTTGTCCTCGTGAAATTCATATTTGTAAAACGTCCTTTCAACACAGGGTAATGTTATCCAACAGTAAGAGTAAAAAAAATGAAGAATGAAAAATAAGTGAGTCCAAAGATGAAGACTAACATGTCAAATAAAAATGTGTTTTTTATGTGAGAAGATGGCTAGCGAGATGGCGGTTCACCTGTTATAACTATCGCTCAATGGATATTTGCAACACCCGTAGGGTTGCAGCTGCGTTGCCACCTTTCAAGAAAATGGGCCCCGGCTAACTCACTCACCAAACGAAACGCTTCGAAAGGAGTACAACACATCCACTTCGCGCCCGTCTTCCGTGAGGTCGTACTTCCCCGGACGGACCTGCCCATTCCTGCAACTGCGAACTATTGGCGTGGCACTACCACAGTTGTGTATTATGTGCATTGGAAACATGTGTGCTAGTCGCCATCCCACACTGGCGGTATTTATTGGTGGTACTATGCCTTAATAAGCTCTGTTCAGATCCCTTTTCCTAGCAGCAGAACACATAGATGTGGGCTGACAGCTTATTCTTTATAATCATCTAACTGAAATGTGGAACTAATACATATTAAGAACCATGATTATAGATTTAAGTCGCTAAGTATGCTAGGTTTGTTACTTGAAAACGGCCAAGTTATTTAAACTGATCAGAAGCCGTGTCGAATAGAAGGCGACAATTGTGGCCCAACACTTATACGCGTGTGTATGTAATGAGTGAATGAGTTGTAAATGGAAATTTATGTACCGCAATTAACGTGCCACAATGTTTGTTAGTGCAGCACTTAATAAAACAACCTGAACTTAACGCAATGACAACTCGC